GGGCGGAGGGGTTGGGCCCCCGAGGGGCAGGAACGGACGGAAGTAAGGTAGTTGACGAGCCGAGGAGGGGCGCCCCAAGTAGGGCCGGGGAAGGCAAGGAAAGCCTGCCCGGCACCGGACAGGCAAGGGGCGAGTCCTGCAGTAAGGTAGGCAACCGTAAGAGAGGGCCAGAGAAAAGGATGCGCAGAGAGAGGGGGCGCGCACCGGGTAGGCAGAAGACACAGTCGGATGAGGAGGATTCGCATAGACGAGGCGTAACAACGGCGAAGGAGGTCGCCGCTTCTGTGGAGAAGCAGAGGCTGGGTGGAGGCGAAGGTGAATGGCAAAGTAGCGACGAGCGAAGTTACCTGTGGCACGAGCCGAACTAGAGGCAACGCGGCGGAGTCTTGGGAACGAGGTAGAGAATATGAATGGTAGGTAAGAGAGTCGGCATGAGGCTGGAGGCTTACGTTTTCTGCTGTCGATGACTGCATTAGGTTATTTTCGTACTCTCTACTCGATTGCCGTGCGAGCGGCCCACCCGCCCTCCCACTAACAGCCAAATGGCTGATCGGAATTGTCTTTGAAGGGTTTGGGTACCGCGGGAGTGTGGTCGCAGACGCAATGGCCTTCCCCACAATAAGTTAGTAGTGAGTACGGATCACGCGATGACGTTTAAGCAATCGTCTCTCCCACTCTCACTACGGAACAGCCGTACGTGAACAGCTACCTGATTGTTTTCCACAGTCCTTGAATATTGCGAACTGTTATTATGCAGCTGGATAGATCTTTTACTGACCTGCGCAATAGCTTGTGCTTTGGCTGACTTCTTTGATGATCGAACTTGAACGCGGTTTGCGACTGGTTTCACCTTCACATCGATCTCCTCTCTTTAGCATGGCATATACGTATGAGGCCTTTGAGAACTTCTGAATCAGCCTAGGAGTTAAGGCAGGGGTGACCGTAGAAGCAAGCAAAATGAACAGTAAACTGCGTACAACGATTGTAACTCTCTGCGTCTTCCTAAGCTTGCACCTTCAAAACGTGTTCTCAGATGGCGTGAACGTCAATCCGTCGAGCTACCTTGCACCTCAGGTCTGTATGTTGCGTTGCTTCTTCCTGAAGACCGGCGAAGCCATGAATTCGCTATGAACGCCATGTTGAAACACAGGTGAAGGTGCCGAACTACCACGTGAACGACATTTGGAAGGCGCATACGCACTTGCCGAACTACCCGGAAATCGAGGCCGCTGCTAGGGACACTTTCGTCGCCCTCCCGTCGAGCTATGACACAAAATATCGGAACCCCTGCTGGTGAGCAAGCTTCAACGCGGAGATCGGTTCGAGTCGGATTCCTCCCTACTTAAACATGCCCATGGCCGCTCGTCCCCAGCTCATCTTGCCGCTCTCGTCCCCAAGTACACCCCTCTCCCTATCGGCTACAGGACACAAGATGGCACGTTCAAGTGCCTACCGTATTTCCAAATACTGGGAGTTTCCAAATGCGGGACAACCGACCTGTATAACCGCCTCACGGAACACCCCGATATGATTGACTGCTCTTGGAAGGTGGGACTGCTCAGTTGGGGCCCATATTTAGATCCAGGATCCAGTTCCCGTGGCTGGGGCCTAAGACCACAGGGCCTAGGACCACAAGGCACGGGA